CGAGCGCACGTGCCCTATAGAAAACACCTCTCAAAAAAAAAAAAAAAAGAAAAGAAAAAGAAAAAGAAAAAAGCCATCTCAAAATTGACAGGTACCTACAGTAGGGGGAGGAGGAGTTTCTCTAGAATGCCGGCATGGCCAAGATAAACGAGATCATTGCCAAGATAAACCATGGGAATTGTAGAGTTGTTTAGAATCTGTGATAAGAAATGAATTGTAATTCTGAGCACAAACCATATAGCTTTCTTAAATAAGTTTTCCCTCCCCACCTCTGAGTCTCATATTCTTTTCACAGATGGAAGCTTTCTGGAAACAGATGGAAAACATCCAGCACTTTCTTGTGGACCAGTTTAAATGTTCCAGCTCCAAAGCCCGACAGCTCATGATGACTTTGACAGAGAGAATGATTGCAGCTGAAGAGCTGTTGCGTGATTCTCAGGATTCGCAGTCTCTGGTAATGCTGGAGCGGGGAGGGAGGGGACATGGAGATATCCACAGTGGAGATGTGCAATGCTGAGCTTAAGCATTTAGAGATTAGTAAATTGAGCACCATCGTGTTGTAAATGGGGATATAGAGCTCCAGAAAACAGCAGCGAATCTGTCCATTCATCCGTGTTTTTCCATCCCGTAAAGTGGAGGTGCAGGACCGCTCGGTATTACTGCAGCATAGAGCCCGGTTCTCAGCCCTGACTGCATGTTGAAATTATTTGGAGAGCTTTAAGAATTACTAATGCAGGGACCAGCAGTTAGCGTAATGGCTATGTCGCTGGACCCCCATGTAGTCGACCACAGTTCTAGTCCCAGATCCGGTGGCTTAAACTCATGCCGGGCACGTGTGCGTACGTGCCCAAGATCCCGAGAGGAAAATGGAGGAGAAGGGATTGTGGCGTGGTCATCCCTCCTGGGGGGTGATTTCTCACTTTCTGTCTCTCTGTCTCTCTCTGTCTTTCTGGCACGCGCACGCGCCCTGTAGCAAAAACCTCTCCAAAAAGAAAAAAAAAAAGAATGACTCATGCAGGCTTGCTGGTGGTGTGGTGGTTAAGGCAGCTGGATCCCACATGGCCAACTACGCAGTTTGAATCCAGACCTGGAGGCTTGAAAAACACACTGGGAGGGGACCAGCAGTTAGTGTAATGGCTATGTCACTGGACTCCCACGTAGT